CCCAGCCCAGCCGTGGGTGGGTGGGTGACCCCCGTGAGCCGAACGGGTCAGCAGCGCTACCTCCAAATCGCTGTCCCTTCCGTCTGAGGAGGAGCAGGCGTCTCTGGCAGGGAATGGGAGCGGTGAGGAGCTGCTGTATCGCGCTGGGAAGCAAAGGGCTTGCCGTCCGGTGCTGCTTCGCCGTGGCAGGTGATTGGCAGCTGGGGAAAAAAAGTCCAAGGTTTATCTACAGGAAGGCGCTTCTGTGCGTGGTGAGGCAGAAACAGCCCCGCGAACAGGCAGACCCTGCCCAGGGAGGCCTGCAGGCAGGACCCGCGCCGGCTCTAGGAAAGGAGGATTTCAGGCCTCTGCCCAGCGTCACTGCACTGTGACGTTCGCCCCCGCCTTGGGTAGCAGAGAAGGCTTGAGAGCTTTTGCTTTGTTACTTTAAACCAGTTTCCAAATGGAAAGAAATAAAATATTCTGTTCTGCCTTCCAGGGCTGCGGCTTCCTGAATGCCAATGATTGTGACGACGTTTGTCCCATCCCCGCGTGATGAGCGTGGGGTTTGGGGTGTGCTAGATTAAAGCTGAGGGGGGGACTTGGTGTGAGACCTTTCAGGGCTGAGCTAATGCTGAGTCGCATCCCCGGGACTTGGTGCACAGAGGGAGTTTGGGCAGTTGCGGGAAAACTTGGTAAAAGATCCCTTGGTGTGTGTGAGGGGTGTGTTGGCTGCCTGTAGGAAACGGGGTGGTGCAAGGGAGAGCCTGGAAGTGGTTCTCGTCTTCCCAGATGAAGTTCAAGTCAGAGAAGCCTTGGGGGGCGGCTCAAAGACTTGGGCCATTGTGCGTTGAAGGGCTTTGATTACACCTGGGCTGCTCTTTAAAGGTTTTCTGGCGTTGCCAGAGCAAGGCTTATACTTGGGAGACCGCTCCTTGGCGTTGCCGTTTGCTCTTCCCTGCATCCTCTGCTGTTCCTGCAGCAATCTCTTCTCGCAGCAGAAGGCAGCGTGATAAGGTTTGGTAGGCTGTTCATTCCCGAGGCTGGGCAGTGGGTTGGTACCCTGTGTTGAGGGGCTGTGAGCTCTTATGTTCATGTGAAAGCAGAACCCTGAAGCTGGAGCGAGCTGGCTGTGGAGCTGGATAACCAGTTAAAGCAGGAAAACCCTCCTTTTGGTAGGGAGAGGTGGTGGTGGTGGAATTGTCCACTACTGTAGACAAACACGCTGCAGATCAGCAGCTACAAGGACCAAGGAGGCTTTTGCAAATTCTGGGCTGAGACCCCCCTTCGGGTTTCCATCACAAGTGGGTGGTTTCTCTCCATGGGAATGTGCTGCTGTGGTTCAGCTGCAGACAAGAGGTGCTGCTCTTGTGGGGTCTCCACCTCCTGGATGAGAGTCCCCAGCTGGAAAGTGGGCTGACATGGGAGCCGCACCATTGCGGGACCCCCACAAACCACCTTGGGAGCCCCGCACTCGACTGCTGATGTGGCGAGGAGCAGAGTGGGTGACGTTCCCCTTTGAAGGCACCTCCATCCTGCCGTGAGGACACATGCAGAGTAGTCTCTGGTGCTGACCGGGTGGAGAAGGCATCCATGTTGTTCTTCTCTGTGTGGCCAGCGCTATTAGCAAGGAAATTTCTTCCTGAGGTGAGGACGAGGAAGGCAGGGATGAACAATGGGTCCTAGTGCCAGAAAGGAGGCTGACTGCCTTGGATGCTGGGGGGTAGTGCTGCCTCCCAGAAGGACTCCCCCTCCCAGATGGACGTTGCTGGGGCAGCAGCAGAGCCAACGGTGTGGCTGGAGAAGCTCGCGGGCAGCTGATGCAGC